CCTCATGGTTGGACACACACACGAAGTAAAGTACCATATTTTTATGTTGAATTCCCTTATATTGCTAATCATTTATCGCACACTGATTATCATATAGTACTTTTAAGAATTATTCGGATGATATGCAACTAATWTGCTAAACATAGCGTATCAATCTCTGATTTATTGGAATGAGTTGACGTAGATGATGCTACAACGAGGGAAAGTAGTCCGATCATTTCAAACTACAACTGATAACTTTCTTTTCAGGATATTGATCAGATGTTCTCTTGTGTGTCAAGACGTTTGAGGAAAAATAATGCTTTGACCCTTGAAGAACTTGGTAGTCAAATCGTTGAAGCTTACAATCCACCTCCAAAAGTTTCTTTTGTCAACTACATCCATGACACGAAAAAATGGATTTTGGAATACTGCCCTGGATTCACTGGTCACTCTGAACCACATCAGTATAAATTTGAAAAGCTTGGTGGGAGGGTCCACATGAAGTACAGGAAGTGGAGTACAAGCAAAAAGTGGCTTCCTGATCCAGAGAATGAAGAACCTTTATACGTGTTCCCTGATGAAACATACCCATCTGGTGTTCCCCCTCATGTCCTCCCTRACCTGGATGCTATTGTTCAAATACTCGAGAAAGATCTTCCCAAATACGGAGTCTTGCTCAACGGAGATGAGAAATCCTGGTGSGATACGTATCTCAGGTCTCTWAGACAACGTCAAAGCAAGGCACCTGATGGTCCATTCCTTTTGCCAGTACTAACAGAGCATCAAGGAAGAAAACAAACACCACAAAAGTCGGCTTTGTCAGAGCAGGACCAAAATGTCCAAGAATATCTCGAAAGACGATTTACCAAAGAAGGACGAGAACCGAAGGTATGGCCGATAGATATATGGGTGTTCATATTCGTGACTCGTGAAGATTTCAACTGAATGTCGATCATATAACTTCATTTTGCAAATATGCAATTTAATTCTGAAAGTGACCATCACCTCTAATGGTGAGGGAAGGCTCTAGTAACTATGGTGATGGTGTCGTTGGTTGCGGSAGGGGTGTGGGATTGGTTTTACATCATTGTAACTGGTAGTATCGTTTCTGTTCTTTCCTACTAGGTTCAGCTGAAAGGAAGTTATAGGAAAAAGAAAAATGCTCCGAAAAAAAGATTAAACAAAAAACGGCAAAAGGAAAATCAAAGCATGAATGGCGCCAAAMGAAGAAAGGGCAAGTGATGGTTGATCTAATGCACCGCATTTGACAATGAATATATCAATATACCTCCTTGCAAACACGTTGTACAACAAACAGAACATTTGCTATATCTAGGAATTATTTAAAATACACTGAAAATAAAGTGTTTAGCTTTAGTGTCATTTGATAATGTGTTTTTGCAATATGAGGTGTATACCGTGTTTACGAGAGTATATATTTGAATAACCGCCTTACATGATGTCTTCGGGGCACTTTCCTCTCCCATAGAGTAAAGTTTCTGTGACCTAACAAGTCGAACGTAGTCACGATCACTTATCAAAAGGGCTGTTCGGCAACTTTCCCTTATCAATAGGGCTATTGACCGTAAGTTAGCGTGCCAGCCCTTTTGATTAGTGCAGTGACCGCGGTTGTAGTTTTCATAGTTTTCATTAATCGTCCAAACTTTAGGCGTATTTTCAATGCTATCGTTTGAACCTTGCCATTTTTGAACATCCTTGTTTAAATATAGCCATCTATTGTTACATTTCTTGAAAATTTCAGAACAAATTGTATTTTAAAAGCACATTTGTTTTTTTTTTAATGTGATTGTTTTTGTAGGAGCAAATGTAAAATAAATGCTCAATGGTTATTAAATTTGAAAACTCTTTACCCGATGGTTTCAGGGCAGTTTCGTCACGTCTCTCAAAGCAGTAAAGTCAAGAGTCTGAGATCCAGCAACTCGTACGTTCTTTACGTACCCTTATCAAAAGGGCTTTTCACCACTTTTCCCTAGTCGATAGGACTATTGACCGCAAAGTAGCGTGCAACATATCGCTGATAGTCAGGTTATCATCAAGAAGATCTAGATCGACTGAGACTGACAAACGTATACCAGACTTCCTTATTAGCGAAATAGCCAAAATAGTTCCAACATGGTTATCAAATACATACCCCGATGACAAGTGATTTCTTGCCACGATCTCTTACATCATAAGGGTTATTTGGCACCCCCAAANAAGGACCATTAAATGGATGCGCGCGTAAATAGAGAAATGATGACGAGTACAATCGATGAGGTTCTTTGATGAGAGTTTTATACAAAGATGTAGTTTTTAAAGCCTTGTAGTTAACAACCATGTGCTTGTGTATCCGATTACATATAGTTACAAAACAATTAAAATGTCAATCATAATCTAGTGTAAATATAATATTGCGTGACACAAAAATGTGGCGTGTCCATGATGTATGTGTCCAAAATGATGAAAATTTGATGGAAATGATTTACATCAAATTTACATCATTTTGGACACTTACATCATATATACATCAAATTTACAACCTTTAAAGCGCGCGATGTTTTCCAGTGTTATTTGGTGGTCATTTGTGGGTGGATGTACGAATGTTGAATAGAAAAAAATCCACTGGAAAAAATCGCGCTCCTTGAAGGTTGTAAATTTAATGGAAATATGCTGTAACTTCAATCTATAATAACTACAAAGGTTGTAAATATCCCGTAAATGTTCAAAATCATGGAAATATCCTGTAAATTTGGATTTTAATTTACATAATATGTTCATTATATTTACATCATTTGTAAAAAGTGTGTAAATGTTACAATGTATGTAAAAAGTGTGTAAAGTGATGTAAATGTGACCTTTTTACATCATTTTTACGTTACATTTACAGCGCGATTTTTTCCAGTGATCCATGCAAACACAATATAGAATGAATGTCTTTATCTACCGTACATACAATTAATGGGCCCCAGCAGTTTGAAAGCATTATTTATTTGACTTGCAGTACCGAAACACCTTCCAGCCAATCTTAAGCACCTATCACCTTGACGATGCCATAGACGTCATCAAGGACACTCTGCCTGAAATAAGAAATCCCAAATTGGAGGATACCCATTCATTTTTGCGCCAATTCGCTGATATTGCTAATATAAATGGCGTTGGGTCATTATACAAGCACTGGTTTATGTTCCTAAACAAGACGGAGGAAACCATGAACATCATGGTTGAGTATGCAGAATGCCATGCAAATATCATACAAGTAATGGGCAATATCATCCAGGAGTAAGTATATATTAAGCACCGGAAAGGGTGAAATATTGGATCACACACAATTCCATCAAACTTTGCTTGCCAATCCATTACATTGATGGTTTGAAACTTTGTTTACGGGATGGTAAGGTGCTGGAGGTTGTTGGAAGTAGTTTTCCAAAAAGCGTTTGGTGACGTCTTCTCGAACATGCTTTAGTGTCCTCGTGCCCTCCCAACTATCAGAAATCATACTAAATTGAATCAAATGATTGTATAAGAAAGCCATCTTCCCAACAAMTAACTGTTAAATCTCTTATCTAGTTGCGTCGATGGAAAAGGAAGCTTTGATGAAATCCACCAGAGAGTAACATCAAAAATTACGTTTAACGGACAAGACTGCTTAGAAAAATCAATGCTTGAGCTGGCCCCGAAAGAAGAAATCAGAAAATCCCTGGAAGAGATGGCAAAGAAACTCACGTTTAATGCAGACTGCACCCAAAACAGACCAAGCGACRTGCCACACATTTCGTATGAAGATGATCTTGATAATGATGATGAAGAAGCCGATGTCTTAAGTCCATCGCAAAGATTCACGGTTTGCGATCTGAAGAATAAGTATAGCATGACCGAAAATGCCATTGCTAATAAGATTGAAATGCCACTTGCTCAAATACAGAAGCTCAGATGTCCGAATTCACAAGAAAGAGATGTGCGATTGGACGATATTCGCAAACTACAACCATTGGTTGGGTATCGAAAACCTTGGTTAATTAAATCATTTTAGACTTAAATGCATGTGAACATAATGTTTTTCAATGTATACACCTTGCCATTAGATTATTTCACGAATCTATGTCATGAAAAGTCAAAGAAACATATAAACACTGCGAAACAATAAAGAACAATTGGAGATTGGAGAAATCATCGAATTTTCTTGATGCTTGTTCTGTCTAAGCATCCTAAAGGCTGATTTACACGGTACGATTTGTCGCGCGCGACTTGTAGTATACGATTTTCCTACTACAAGTCGTAGGATTTTAAGCAGTGGTTCAAAACCCTACTACAAGTCGTAGGTTGTGTACGACTGTTGTAGACAAGTCGTAGGGGCATTTACACTGCGCGATTCAAGTCGTATACTACAAGTCGCACGAGACAATCGTGCCGTGTAAATCAGCCTT